GAGCTGCAGTCAGTGGGAGCGTAGGTAGAAACGACAAAAAGGCAACGACGTGTGTCCCTATCCTTCCGAGTTCTTACGTAGCCGTTCAGCCGAACGGCACATAAACGACTGTTGACGGGGATCCACTCTAGCAGTGTTTGTTCCGCCCTCATGCTTAGTGCTATGCCTACACCTGCCAGTCCACGAGAACTTGCCATCGGGTCACCAGATACACGAAGGGTGTATCTTGTTGGCTCTCCGTTTTGCCGAGGTGAGGTCAAGTGAATAACCACACTGGAATCTTGTATGCGTGTTTCGGAGACACAGCATACATCAATGGAAAGAGACTCTAGGGTTTTAGCCAAGGAAGCCTGCTGACCGATTTGACATAGGGTGCGTACGTTGAAGGCTCCAATGTGTAGTTTGGAGCGAGGTTTCAGTAGACCTGGGACAGTGTTTTGAGCACTAGAATCGTTGGCTATGGTGACACTTGAGGTGGAAGCCGAGAGAGGAAATTTAAAGTTGAAAGTCGATGTAGGAGGAATAATAGGAATTGAAGAGGGAGGTTGATTATGAATACAGTGGTCTTGGGTGCTGTTAGAGGTATGAGGGCGGTTATCACTTCCCGGTTGCCCACACCGTGGAAGGGTTCTTCTGGAGGTACCTGAAAAGGAAATTGGATTAAAGGTGGTCTTAGTGACCTGAGAGCGTGACCGCAGTGCCCAAGGGACAACTGCTTGAGGCCGGTCGCGCACGGCCTTTTCGTAGGAGGTTTTTGACGTGTTAGCTCCGTTCTTCAAAGGGCCTTACCGCCGGAGACGGAAATCCGTGAGGTAAGGTGAGGTGTGCATTTTTAGGGTCGACCTTTTCTAACCCCACCCCTCCTTGTGGGAAGGCAGCATCGCTGTCATGCTGGTTGTCTGAAGGAAACACCTTACTGCTGTCACACCTCTGTACAGTCAGCAGTACGACTTCGCCTTCGGACCTTGGGTTTGTTGCTTTTAGTCTTACCGCTCTTCAACCGACCTGTCTGACATGGTAGGACCTTGAGGAACGGTTGTTCCAGCCAGTATAGCTCGGTTGCTTCATCACGATAGGCAAGCCCGACCACCACGTCAAGGTAGCAACAACGGTCGGGAAAACTTGCTCACTACTGCGGCACAAACGATTTTCAACCAAAAACGAGTTGCGTGTAGTCATGATAAATCGAAAACACGCTAAAAACGGTATACTTTGGATTTTTATTTACCACCTACTATGGCTAACAGTAGTAACATTTATAAAGAAAAGCTTTAACATCTGAAAACATACCCATTTGTGACATTTTACCAAATAAAGGTTTGTGTATTCTGCATCGAGACCCACTAACTAAAACGAAGTGGGTGAAGCGAGGTTCAAATCTGGAACTTACTAGTTTAAGGTTCACTGATTAAACTACTAGGTCTGTAATCAATATTAACCCGGTAACTGGGAAGGAAACTATTCTTTTTTAACAATAAACTACGTAGTACTGAACATGTCACGCTTGTAAACACAGGATTTTAGTATTAGTAGTGAGTTATATGTAAATGGCATATACGCAAACAATAAAACTCATGTATATGGAATATTGCTACATGTAGTAATATAGAATATGATCGCTTACCACGCCATAAAATCCATTTTCAACAGGAAAACCACTGTGATCCAGTAAATGAATACGTCCTAATTGTGTTCCAACTGCAATAAACTTTAAAGTGTAGTGCAGAGATTTTAAAATGGTCAAACGTTTATACTGAATGCATAAGTATAATACTCGTGTAACAGTTTAACCAGGAAGTACATCCTTACTTACTTACTTACGCCTGTTACTCCTCGTGAAGGAGCATAGGCCGCTCACCAGCGTTCTCCATTCAACCCTGTCCTGGGCAATCCTTTCTAGCTCCGTCCAGTTGTACATCCAGTGAGTCATAAAGAAGAAACGGAAGTTAGATTTCTACACAGATTTTCGGCTTTTAATTTCCAGGTGCTAAACTTTCGGCAGTGTGAACAGATACGTATATGCGTAAAGTACTAACAGTTCATCCTTTGCATATGTAATGCACTAATAATATAGATGGATTTGCGGTTTTTGTATAGAATAGTCTCTTGAAAGTGCATATAAGTCAATAACTGATGAGCGCATCTGAAACGCCTACAATTAAAAGTTAATACTCCATATATTATTGGTGACACTTTTAGCCAAATGACTGAATCGGAAATTCAATAAACGGGACAAACTAATGATTTTTAATACAACCACCAACAGAATGTCAGCATATGACTGAAATAAACACCTTTCTGATTGCACACTTTGGACATAACACTTCGCTTGAAATAGTTATGCCTATCTCCCCTGCAACGCTTATTAACACAACCTTGCTAAATGAAAATCATGACACTTGAAATATTATTCTACTTAAAGCTTGTTACTACGGTCTGCGCCGGCTCCCTAGCACTTTTGATCTTCACTCAAGCGACCTCAAAACCAAAACACTTGTGGGAGAAACGTAAATACACTTCAAAACACAAAGCAAAATTAATAAGTTACAAATCGATTTAAATTATTAGAGTTTATGGACAGGGTAATTGTCACTGAATACGAATCACCGTGTGCTAGTTAAAACAATCCCGATCGAAGCTGCTACCTTGACGCGGTGGTCGGGCTTGCCTATCGTGATGACCCAACCGAGCTATATTGGCTGGAACATATGTTCCTGCAGGTTCTACCATGCCAGGCAGGTCGATTGGTGAACGGTAAGACTAAAAGCAGCAACTCAAGGTCTGAGGGCGAAGTCGTACTGCTGACTGTAGAGGGGTGTGACAGCAGTAAGGTGTTTCCCTCGGACATCCAGCATGACAGCGATGCTGCCTTCCCACAAGGAGGGGTGGGGTTAGAAAAGGTCGACCCTAAAAATGTCACACCTCACCTTACCTCACGGATTTCCGTCTCCGGCGGTAAGGCCCTTTGAAGAACGGAGCTAACACGTCAAAAATCTTCCACAAAAAGGCCGTGCGCGACCGGCCTCAAGCAGTTGTCCCTTGGGCTCTGCGGTCACGCTCCCAGGTCGTCAAGACCAACACTAATCCAATTTCCTTTTCAGGTTCCTCAAGAAATACCCTTCCACGGTGTGGGCAGCCGGGAAGTGATATCAGCCCTCATACCCGTAACAGCACAAGAGACCAAGGTGGTCACATTCAAATCTTTCCTACACCTTCTAATACCTCTCTTATCTCCCCGACTAACCCTCCCCACGTTTCTTTATCACCTCGCACCGCTAGGGCAAACGATTCGAGTACGTGGAACGCTATTCCTGGTCTCCTGAAACCACGCTCTAAACTACACGTAGGAGCTTTTAACGTACGAACACTTTGCCAAATAGGACAGCAGGCTTCATTAGCTAGGACTTTAGAATCTCGCGCCATCGATGTGTGCTGCGTCTCCGAAACGCGCATACAGGATCCGAGTAGCGTCATTCATTTGACCTCACCATGCCAAAATAAAGAACCAACTCGATTCACACTTCGTGTATCTGGAAGCCCAGATTCTGCTTCCCGTGGCCTCGCCGGCGTAGGTATAGCATTGAGTCCTAGGGCAGAACTAGCTCTCTTAGAGTGGATCCCAGTAGACAGTCGTTTGTGCGCTGTCCGACTGAACGGAACAGTAAGGATCCGAAAAAATAGGGACACTCGTCGTTGCCTCTTCGTCGTCTCTGCCTATTCTCCCACTGACTGCAGCTCAGATGATGTAAAAGATGAGTTTTACAGAAAGCTTTCGGACCTTCTCCGAAAAGCTAAGCGCTCGGATGTAGTAATTGTGGCCGGTGACTTTAATGCTCAAGTAGGTAAACTAAGCGATAGGGAGAGACACCTGGGTGGATCTTACGGTGTCGTGGCTCAAAGAACAGATAATGGCGACCGTCTGTTGCAGCTATGCTCAGATAACCGCCTGTTCCTTGCAAATACTAACTTTAAGCATAAGGAAAAACATCTTTTAACATGGAGACCCCCTAATTCGTCCCAACGTTGGACCCAAATAGATCACATCGCTATCAGCCACCGATGGAGGGGCTCGATAGAAGACTGTCGCTCATTCTGGAGCACATGCCTAGATTCAGATCATGCTCTAGTGCGAGCGCGTATTTGCTTGCGTCTAACTGGACGTAGGAAAGACACTGCAAGAAAACCTCTTAGGGGCCTACTTAATGATAGTCAAGCTAAGAGTATATTTCAGGAACAACTAGGAAAACAGTTAGGCAGCCATGTATGTGATGCCCACCCCGATGCAGCATGGAATGATATCCGAAAAGCTGTGGAAACAGCAGTGATATCTGCTAGTAAGGTAAACCAGAAGGTTAGGGAGCAACACTGGATCTCAGCAGCATCTATCTCACTGATAGATGCTCGGAAACTCATTCCACCTGGCTCTGAACATAATGAAGAGCGGAGTCAGCTTAAGCGCAAGCTGACCAGAAGCCTACGCAACGATCGCGAACAGTGGTGGGTAGCGAAAGCAAGACAGATGGAAAAGGCAGCGGCAATAGGTAATAGCAGACAATTGTTCAGACTCGTTAAGGAAACCGGAATTAGGAACCCGACCGTTAGCGAAACAATCTCAGAGAAAGATGGACATATTATTCATTCTCAATCCAGGAGATTGGATCGATGGGCAGAACACTTTAGGGATCAGTTCAACTGGCCTTCAGCCACACTTCGGTTTCTCACGATCTCTAGTCAACCTGAATGGCAAGTTAATGTAGGTCCTCCGACTTTTTACGAAGTTGAAAAAGCCATAGGAAATCTGAAACGAGGGAAAGCAGCAGGCCCTGACAGGTTTACTCCTGAGATTTTTAAGGATGGTGGTCCAGTATTAGCAATGAGATTAACCGAGGTCTTAAGTAGAATTTGGGAACTGGACGTAATCCCATCTGACTGGTCTCAATCACTGATTGTGCCAGTCTATAAGAAAGGACAAAAGTCCTCTTGTGACAATCACAGAGGAATCAGTTTGACTAATATAGTGTCTAAAATATTAGCTTCAATAATACTTCGACGCCTAATCAAAGCTCGTGAAGAGCAGACTAGAGAAAATCAGGCTGGTTTTCGACCTGGACGTGGTTGTATAGATCAGATATTCACACTACGTCAGGTTCTAGAACACAGACACACATTCAGACGCCCCACAATGGTAGTATTTCTCGACCTTAAGGCGGCATTCGACTCTGTTGATCGTGAGGTTCTATGGCAGTGTTTGTCACTGAAAGGAGTACCAAAGAAGTACATTAACCTTATAAAGGCTCTCTACTCGAACACAACTGGTAGAGTGAGAGCTTATGGCGAACTGTCATCAGAATTGATTACCTCAAGTGGTGTTCGTCAGGGCTGTCCACTCTCCCCATTCTTGTTCAACTTTGTCGTGGACATACTTCTAGAGATAACACTTTCCTCATCTAGATTTCCAGGGGTTGAACTTCTACCGGGAGGTTCACTTGTTGACTTAGAATATGCTGATGACATAGTTTTATTTGGTGAAGACGCTGACAAAATGCAGAGTCTTCTGACCACTCTAAGCAACAATGCAAGCATGTTCGGGATGAGATTCTCTCCCTCGAAATGCAAAATGTTGCTTCAGGATTGGGTTACATCGACACCCGAACTAGTGATAGGGAGTGAAGTAGTTGAGTGTGTCGACCGCTTCACTTATCTTGGAAGTCTCATCAGCCCTTGTGGTCTGGTGTGTGACGAAATCTCAGCACGGATACAGAAGGCTCGACTAGCTTTTGCCAACTTGCGTCATTTATGGCGTAGGCGAGATATCCGTCTATCAACCAAAGGACGTGTTTACTGTGCAGCAGTTCGTTCCGTCCTACTTTATGGCAGTGAAACATGGCCGGTAAGAGTAGAGGATATCCGTAGGCTACTAGTATTTGATCATAGGTGTCTTCGAAACATTGCTCGTATATCATGGGACCATCGAGTAAGTAACACAGTTGTTAGGAAACGGGTACTAGGTAAGGATGGCAAATCAATTGATGACGTAGTGAAACTTCATCAGTTGAGATGGCTGGGACACGTGTTACGTATGCCCAACGACCGACTGCCTCGACGTGCTATGTTCAGTGGTATAGGAGTAGGTTGGAAGAAAGCTAGGGGCGGCCAAACCAAAACATGGCACAAGTCCATGAAGTCACTGACAAGTGAACTGAGTCATGTTGGTAGGTGTAGACTACCTGGTTGGGGACCGCGAGATGATAGCAACCGATGGTTAGAGACCCTGAATGACATGGCTCAAAATCGTTTGCAATGGCGCAGGTGCATCCACTCTCTGTGTTCTCTCAAATTCTAATCTTCTGAATTCTTCATGTCCCTTTTTTCCTCTTTCCAAATTTATTTCACTGGATTATACTCTATAAATAACATCTCCAAACCCTAATCTTCCCGATTACTGCTTATACTCTTGCTACCTCTACCACTATGGGATTTGAATGGACAACTGCATCTCTGTGCTAATGTGGTGTGGCAACTCGAACTGATGTACGTACGTACGAAGTTCTACGTTGATACTGACTGACTGAGTTAAAACAATAAAGACATAAAAAACAAAGTAGCGAATTACATATTGATTAAAGGTTAATAGGCGAAGTTCACTGTAAATCAATTTATGGATTCAAAAATTGATTCGTTCATTGATTTAGTCTGGGAATTTCGTATCCCCAACAATTACGCATAATGGGAAAAATATTTATTTATCTATGGATTTGTCGTTGTTTGCTGTTTCTGCCACTTGCTTTCGATGTTAATCATTCTTTATTGCAACGGAACCCACAGTATTGAGCAGAGATATTACTATTTCTTTAAACCCAAGAGAACTTGGTATTTTCACTGGGCGTTCATTAAGATATGGATTTGTCCTATTTCACAAAAATAAATATGCTGTGCGCATGAGGGCTTTCGAAAAAGGTTTTCTAGCCACGAATTTCAACTTTATTATCAAACATAAGTAGCGGAATATATGCTAACATACCCAATAAGCAACAAACAGTTGTTACCATCCTTGTAAAACATCTTAAATATTGTTTCCTTTATCCAATCTTTTACACTGAAAAATTACAAGGCACTGAAGGAATAATTTCTAACTAGAATGTTCTATTACATTCGAAACTCCAATATCTCAACTAAAAAGCTCGTAATACTGTATATTAATGGTCTGTAACGGGGAAATCTATTTAATGACTTCAGATAGGGGAGCAATTTCACAAAAGACTGCAGGAAAGAAAGCTTACATCTAGCGGTTACTCTAAACCACCAGATGTAGAAGGCCAGTAAATCAAACGGTATTAGAATGCACTGAATGTATACCGGTGATGAACTTTTAAACAGATTAAGCTTCATGACAGACTAATAAACTAAAGACAAGAAACACAAAAGAAATATGTGTTTATACAAACAGTACCCAGAGTCACTGTGAAACTTCATCAAGCAGTCAAAAATAAAAATTGAAGAGATCATCAATCACAAAAACGATAAAACTAATTTCCTCACAGAAATGGATATTTTGAGACATCATAAACAACTTGTATATTTACAATAACATCTTTTAGGGTTTACTAAGCACTAAAATAACCATAGAAGAAACTACTGTTTGTAAACGTATATCAGGATTTTGCACAAACCAAAACGAGACATAAAGGCAGTCAAATAGTAACATTTTCAATACAATCAAGTACCAAATACGGATCTATCTAGTCGACTTTAGGCTACACGTTTTGTGCAAGGTAGTGATACTACTGGTCTGGTGAAATAGAAATAGGAACCTACTATACAGTGATCCAGAGTTAAGTCCTTCGACTGATTAGCTACTGACCGACATCAAAACTTTATTTGGCTTTTCTTTATCATGGTTTAATATATTCAATGAGAAATATTGATGACAAATCAGTTTTACAAGAAAATATCTACCAAAACATGCTTACTTTGCCATGCACTGCCACACAAGTGATGGAATCTATGGAAGTTATATCACGTAAACCATGTTCTATAGATTTGAACTTAAGACATGGCTCGACGGCCTCAAAACTTTTATTTTCATCAAAATCTTCAGCCAATTCAGCAACTTCAAATGTGTTGGACATCTGTAAATACATAAAATATGAATTGATAACCCGAACAGGCGTAGGTGAACTATGTTGTCGTATGTAAAATATGATACTAAGTGATTAATGTTAACGTAAAACACTATCTCTAATAAACTTAGTGTGAATTTAGGATAATTATCGTGTTTATTCAATTATATGTACAACTATGTAGCCTTAACAGAAAGTCAGTTAGATACGCAAAAACGCTACTTTATTTAAGCCACAAATTGTACTAAATATTCTTCTATTAAAGGACTTCTAAAGAAACCATTTGTTCTTCTTATGTATCGACTAGGAACGACCGAGGTATAGTGTTTATTTCAACACCCTACTGATAACGATACTCCACACAAAACGAACTTTTGTATGTGATAATAAGAATACAAAACTTAAAATCGTTTACCGTATCCAAAATAATCTAGCCATTTTAATACATTGATATCATAAAACATGCATCTAAAAGCTTTTTAAAGAAAGAAACTTAAACTAAACTAACAATCGAAGAAATAGGTAGCGCTATTGTCCGTATTAGGAATAATGGACATGTTTTGTTGAAAATTTTGATGTTTAGTTTTTATAATATTACACTTTCGTCGTCTAGTTTTGAAATCGAAAAGCTACAAAACAATACCAACCAAGCTCCTGTATTCAAGAAATTCTGACATTCCGATACTATAATAAAACCTTCACTTTTGTAAAGGATTCAGTTGTGATATTCGCGTACATAAATAGTAGTAGAGATAGTCAGGTTTTGTGTCCTTTTTATTTGCCATTTCAAAGCCTTGTGTAACACTGAGTAGTAATAAACTTTGGTGTCTCGCGACCCTGAAACGACACATTATGGATAGTTTATCTATCAATTTCGTAGAGAAATAAATATTTCTTAACGGATGGTTGGATTGATGAGTGAAACGTAGGTGAAATGTACCCAGATCTATAAATTAGCTGATAATTAATAAACAAAATGTTCAAAAATAATGAAAACCAAAATGATACACCCAACTGAAGAGTAACCGGAGAGTTCCTCTGTTAAAATTTTATGAGTTGTTTACGAAGAGTCATGTTTTACACTAAATTTGTAGGAAAAAATATTAACAGTCATGATCTTATCCTTCGGAACTAATTTTTAAAAAAATTAATATTTGGTTGAGTGCTTATACAAAAATAGAAAATTTGATTTCTGAGAGACGGCATACTGTTTGTACATTTATATGTGGAATTTCGTGACGTACATGAGGTTTTAAATCTCCACTAACTTATATATATGGCCAGTGACACGTTGGAAGGCTTACATTTCAAGACGTGTGGGGGCTAAGTTCGAGAGATAGGGCAGGACTTGATGAGCTACAGGATAAAGAGCAGATCCAAACATCTAAACAAAAGCAACCACGTCACAGGATAGTAACCCAAATAAGGATATTCACGAACTACATTTCACTAGTACTATTATATTAAGGGGGATTGACAAACCTCAGTGAGAACAGAAAAATTTGAAACCGCTACCCAGAACCGACAAACGAACTCCTAGGAAATCTACACCATAGTAACAGTGTAACAAATATACCAACAGAAAACGAAAACTAGCTCGTTTTTGACTGCTAGTCGTAAATTTACTGTTTTGTAGAAATCAGCTCAGCATATGCTTTGAAGACCAAATAAAATAAAATAACATGACGTACATTAAAATGAAATAGCAGACCTTACGCTAACTAGATTCATAATCATATTCACCCAAAAGATAATTATACATAATTATCTTATATAAATATATATATATAGTACTAATGATAGAAACACGTAAGGCTATAAAATAAGTAATTAGAACTACGAATCGTTAGCATTACTACATACTAACCATATTTTAACTCATTGTTCCATATATTGTGCTACGACAACCTTGACCAGCTTGACCTTCACCGTATCGATATCCTCAAATTGTTCGGTACGCAAAATAAATTCTGTAAGTCTTCGACGTTTGATGCTGACCGCATTAGTTTTAATAGACTCACCTAGCTGGAGCCGCTCGGTCAGGCACGCACACCAGATCACGAGTTGGAACATCCCCTACAACCACCAGCCAGCTTATATTAATCACTGGATATATTGATATTCTATCAAATATGCCTTCGAACCTCTTCGCTTCTGACTTCTGATGTCCCTAGGTTGGCACGTTTCGATTATAAAAGGTGTTATTGTTAACTTGTTGCCAAACTTCAGATGCTTGTGGCATCTTTGCCTTCAGATGGCTGTGAACAGAATATGGGAATCTTTTGTCAAACGAGCTTCCGTGTTTGGCAACCGCAGACCACTAATTCTTCTAGGTACAAACCTAGGTATATGAGAAAAATGGAAGTAATAAAATGATTGACGAGTTAGTGCCCATTTATGTCCAAAGTGGTTTCAAATGGTTGTGGATGGAATAGAAGAAGCTTTCACCAAAAGTGCTTCCGTATCTAGTAGAAGTGGGTTACCGAATCCTCCAAGTAAGAACCTAGGTATGTTAACGATAAAAGAGAGAAGAATTAGTAAATTATAGCAAGATACTCTTCTTGTTCCTTAAGAGTGTGTCAAGTCTTCTTTTAACGGACTCCTGGGAAGTCGCTTAGACCAGTTCGGCCGTCAGCGAATTCATACAATTCGCTACCCTTAAAGAGTAGAAGGTGTCCCTACAGTCCGCTTTGCTGTGTTGTCCCCAGTTTCAGGTTGTTGCAACCAAGGTTTGTGTCAGAACTGAGCTTAAATAGGTGTTTAAGGGGGTGTTCATAAGTGGTAATAATGCTGTAAGTCATTAGGTCACCTCTAAGATTCCTCTTCTCTAGTGGGTAAATGCCCAGTGATTGGAGGCACACTTCATAAAACTTGAGTCTCGGAAGTGATTTCGTGGCTCGCAATCGAGTACGTTCCAGAGTGTCCTATCCTTTTGGAGTGAGGGTGAAGACACATCGTGTATCTATACTCTAACTGGGGGTGAATAAAGCTGTTGAATGCTAGGTAAAAATTTATTCCATCGAACTGACTGAAAATGCTCTTCAACGCTACCAATCCAAGGTTCGCTGGAAAGGCATTTTTGTGGCAGTTAGCGTAAGACTTCAGGTCGTAGGGTACCAATACTACTGGATTTTTCCCAACAAGAGACACTTCTATAGGACAGCCGCCTAATTTATAGTTGTAGTCTGCAACATATCACAGATGAACTAATTTACACTTTGAATTCTCCACCATCTCAAAATCATATGGGCGTAATACGCTTTGAACTGTTAAAGTTAATTCCGTTGTCACTTGCCCAAATTCGAGGTCAAGTCAGATACATCTGGAAATGCCAGTTCACCCTCTTGGTTGTATTATTCTCTACAGAGTTTCACATCATCAGGGAAAAATAT